AGGGATTGTCTGAACTAGTCGAGGGGAAAAATAAAATATTTTTTTAATGTGTGATAAAGACCAAATGAAAATTTTAAATCAATTCTGAAATAATCTGTAGAAAACAGAAAACAGAGCTGAAATTAGAAAACTCATCTTTTATTAAAGTTCTGGTCGATTTTACTGAATACACCTGCAGCATGAACTGTGAGAAGTGTTTAATAATGTTTTACATTTTTTCTTAATAAAGGGTGATAAACAAAACGATTTTCAGTTAATGTTTCCCGGTGTTTCTCGAAAAATCTATGTAGTTAATGCGTACTCTTCAATAATAATGCAAGCTTACCGTCTCATCCAGTACGTCCTTACTAAGGTTTGTTTTAGATAAAATTTCAAAAGGTAGACATCACTGCGAAAAAGAGAGGGGCTGGAGACAGTTACATTGGAGTAGAGTAGGGCAAAAAGGCTTATATGTTCATTTCCAACTCCTTTATGCTTTTTTGCATATTTTTGGTTCCCTGAATTTTGGCTTTTGGCAAAGAGTGATAATTCAGAATGTTGAAATATGAGAAAAAAGACTTTATAAGAATAGGTACTGCATTCGGTCCTAGTTCTTTCCTGCATTTTTTTGAAATAGTTGCGGTGGGGGGAAATGTCATATTAATTTCAATTAAACATGAGATGTAAATTTAAATTGGTTGTTTGTAATTTTTCATACCTTGCTAGCAGTTGATCAGGAAATAAAAGATGAGGTAAAACTTTATCGGCTTTTTCTAAGTGCCATCCATTCCAGTGAAAAAAAAAAAATCATTTTTGATTAAAAAAGTCAGATCAACGCAGGGCGAAGATGCGCAGAGAGGAGAAAAGGAGAGGTAGGAGGAAAGGAGGTGGGGGAGAAGGGTGGAGGGTTCAATAAACAATGAAAGAGGAGAAGGAAAATGAAAGGAGGGGAAGAGAAAACGTGCTCCTGTTATGTACATGTGTTTGACACTGGTAATGTCCTGCTCGGATGAGGATCAGTGTAAAATACGTGAGTATAATTAGTTGGCCATTTGTTTTTTAGAAGAGCAGAGAAGCGTTTGAGTTTTTGGATAGTGAATGGTGTTCACGTCTAAAAGCTGAAATAGGTGAAGAAAATATTCTACCATACTGGGGAGGAACTATGGCAACCGATCAGCCGACCGGCTCTATTCGGATGGGTGGCGAACCACCGCAGCAAGTTATGTAAGTTTGTGACTTGCCACGTTTATCTTAAATTTGGTTTCCCTGTTCTACTGGAAAATACTGATGCACGCCAATAATCGGTCAGTGCAATGCTTAGTTTCTAAGGCGAATGAGACAATTTTTACACTTCATTTGCTCAAATCCAAATAAAACCAAAAATACCAAGACTGCTTCAGCTATTATGTGGATGTCCTCTACCAGTGATATTACTAGGAAGCACCCACACGCTGAATGCAATTATGCCAGCCCCTGATCTTGTGATTTTTTAGCGCTAAGCTGATTGTAGCATGCAAGTAGATGCGAGAAGTTGAGAGAGCAAAGGCATGGGGCGAACTAAGCTAAATTTGAAGTTGTTTGCGAAGCATTTTATGGCTCGTTTAAATTTCCAGAAGACTGAGAAGTGTACATTTTTGAACAAAAATAAAACTGAGTTGAGATTTTGCGACTTAGAATTTTGTTTCCAGCTGAATTACCCATTTTTGTTCTAAACCTGTCGTGACTGATTTCGGTACCATTTATTCCGCTTACCCTGCACTTGTCATTTCAGCATAAACAATTCTGGCTTAAAAAGAAGTCTTTCGTTTTCTGTCCTTGCAATACCATTAGTAGCGCTTTCTTATTACGTACTGATAGAACTGAGAGCTGATAAATGGCTCTGGCGTCGTTTTTAACCTAGAGATTAGCGTTGCGAAACCTTCTGTTTTGTTGACATCTAAACTGTAAACTTCGTCCCATGCAGTCACCGGAAGAATCGTCATCGTCTGACCGCGTTAATGCGGACCAAAAAGGGCAATTTACTGGCTGGCCAAGAAACGGGTATTTCCGTTTCTACAGATGTAAAATGCGGAGAGGAGCCACAAGTGTGAAACTAAGAGTTGGTTTAGTTTGGCAGTTTAGAAAATTCAGAAATAAGCTTTCTCGTGGTGTACTGCCCCACCATGATGTCGCCCAAATCCAATATATGAGATCCTATGTATGGTTTAAGAAACCTAAGTAAGTGTTTGGTGCGAGAGTGCAGATGTAAGAAAACTCAGGTAGTCTCGTTTCAATTCCATTCGGCACCTTCGTTTCTTAAATGTTTGTATTAAAAATCCGCGTGATTGTTAAGAGTTGACGAAAGTTGGCGTTTATTTCGTTGTTCCTAGATTAAAAACTTTTTTGACGAGATCGTGTCTGCGTGCCCACATTTTTATGCGCGTGCTTATGTGATTCCACTCCGTAATTGTGATTGCTAGAGTTTCGTGGACACTGCTCATGCTTATGCAGGAATTTATAATCTTAAATTAGTTCCTAGTCTTTCAAATTCCGGACTCTGCACCCACATTTAGTTTTCGAATACTGCTGCAGTCTAAAAGCAAAAAAGATTTTAAACTCTGAATTTTAAAGACAGGTACGTGTGGTGCAAAATTTAGATTGGCTTTTAGATTCCACTTTGTTTCGCCCGCAGGCTTTAGCAGAATAACTCTATAACTCGGGACCAGTTGATCAGTTTTGCGATCTATAGTCCCAAACCTAACTTGTTGATCCATGTTACTATCTCCGAAAAGCATAAGACACGGGTTTGAATTCTGGTGACATACATCCACCGACTGGGTTGCATATGTTGGCGCATTCACCTATTGTGCGCACATAGCAGTAACTGTAAAAGGCGCAGCTGCGGTGAGCATCTTATTTTTAGTCTTCAGCTAATAAATTAAAGCATATTAAGCAGTATGCTATCGCTGAAACTAAACAGGATTGTTATCTTGAACAATTAGTCGTATCCCTTCGAGTTTAGTATACATGTCTAACTTTTGTTTATTACAACGCTGCTAAATATAAAAGTTTCATAACTTTATTAACTCTGTGCAATATTGGTGTAGAAAACAGCGTCCGATAATGTAGCGGCCTGAAAGTCTGAGATATGTTCCCCAAGATCTCGTAATTTTGGATAATCGCTGTAGTAAGCAAAAATCA